GGGGGGGGGGGGGGGGGGGGGGGGGGGGGGGGTTTGAGTCTCTGGCAAAAAAAAAAAAAAGGGGGGGGGGACAAGAGATGCCTCTCAATTGTGTAGGGGGAGGGCTGATTTAAAGTACTGGGGAGGGCAATCAGGTGGCCATCTTCCCCATGGCTGGATTCATTCAGCTCTGCCCGGAGAGGCAGAGAAGCACCAGCCGGGGAATCTTACCATCCAGCGAGCAGCGAGTTCTCTGGAATTAGCAGCGTCGCCGTGGAGATAAATGGCCGACTGTCATAACGACTCGCAGCGACAGACTGCACCCGGGCACTGAAACCTATGACCGCGCATCCGCAAACTCGAATAGCCCTCTTTTCGTCTCGTTGATTCTTTCAGTGTCAATATCCAGTCACAGGCAGCAGTGTCAATATTTTACATTCCAACTGCAAAACGACAACGTCCAGTTCTTTCTACCTAATACAGGGGGCGCCGTGGAACCAGGGATAAACAGAGAGCAAAGTTAGTGGCATACTTACTTTTTTTCTCTCCTTGTAATTTATCATTTTGTTCGGCAGCGAGCGGCGTTTCCCACAGCAAAAATCTGGAATGGTGAAACCTGGTTATAATCCATTAAATCGGCTCAAGGTGAATTCTGCGGGGTACCCTGATCCGTACAGGTGTCAGATCCACTGGATACGGAGAATTTTGTTTACGCCACATAAAAGCCTTGAAGCATCACATGCGCTCGCTCTCTCCCGGTCCACACAGCGCGGGAAAACTGTTGCAGTGATCAGGAATGCTGTCCGGAATATTAATTCATTAGGTGTAGAGAAGAAACACACAGAAAATTCTCCACTTTTCTTTGCACTTGAACAAGGAGGAAAAATAAGCCCAAAGTGACGACAACACAGAGAGAGAAAGTTATTTGAAGTAGAATCCAGTCAAATCCATTTTTTTATCCTTTGGGAAAGATGCCCCATCTCTTCAAACACCCTCCTCGGCATTATCCGTATGAAGACCGGGGGAGGGGGGTATGACATGGGATGGGGACAGTGGGGGGGGTCTTGTTAGCACTGGGGTAAAGGTTTATGTCCGCCCCCGGCTCCCATCAGAGCTGAGTGAGGGTCTCCACAGCGTCCTGCCAGTCGGCTTCTGCTGAGGGACAGCCCCCCTCGCTGTAATCGTCACTTCAGTAGCTTCTAACTCTCCCTCTCTCTCTCTCTCTCTCTCTCTCTCTCTCTTGCCCCAGCTGAGTAGGGGATCGGCGTGTTCAGATCCTCAGCTCCGCCGTCCCTCTTCCAGCACCCCCCTGGACCCGGAGACGTGCCCAACGCTCACTTGCTGCTGTTGCTTTTTGTAGCTTCTCTTCTCTTTCTCTTCTGCTTGAGTTGACATCCCCCGGGGTGCGGGTCTGCTGTGGAGAGTGGGCTTGCCTGGCCTGACAAAGGTGGGTTGCTGGTGGGGGGGGGGGTTGTGTAGGAGTTTCCCCCCCAGCCTGTTCCTAAAGCACCTGACAACTTTCCGCGTTCTCGCCGACGGTCTGGCTACTCCCTCCGTCTGATGACTGCGAGCGATTCCCCTCCCCTCCTCTTTTTCCTGGGAGGTGGATGTTGGTCTCGGGTGCGGGGTGGAGCTGGTAGGGGGTGGGGGTGCTGACTGCAGTTCGCACAGACTTCAGAGCGTAAAGGAAGGAGGTTCTGGAGCGGGTCCGGCAGTCATTCGCCAGACGGGTGCGTTCACTGTTCTGCGGATGGAGACAGAGTCCAGGCTCACAGCTGCTCCTGGAGCCAGCGTATCGATTCTGTGACAGTGCTGTGTGAATCAGGATAGAGAGAGAGAGAGAGAGAGAGAGAGAAAGGAGGAGCAGAGCGGAGGGCAGGGTGAGCAGGGAGTGGGCGCTGAGTCTGGGGGTGCTGGGAAATTGCTCCGTCCTCCCTGGCCGTAGCTGGGAGAGAAAGAGCTAATTAATGCACATCTGTTGACGAACCGTGGGCCTGAAAGAAATAAAACAAGGAGGGACTATGGGACTGTCGGGTGTTTCTACGCCGTGTTCAGGGGGCGTATTCACACACGGAAAGCATAACTCTGACAGGATAAATGCCATGATACATTCTTATTTTTCCACTTAGAGATTTTTTTAAAACTATGCCAGACCAATGTCAGACATGAACTTTTTAAGTTAGCTTCACCTTTCTCTCGTAGACCTGTCCACCTCCCTATTTGGGTAAAATAGGGATCTGTCCCGATCTGTAGGTGCATTAAAGGATGTAGCCAGAGTGGCATTTACGCAGTGTTTCTGCATGTTAGCATCCGATTAAACCGGTTCTGTTTTTGCAGATTCACAAATCGCTCCGCTGGAGAGGCGTCATGGAAAAAGATTACTGATGTCATATTTGGTTACCATGGAGAAGTTTGTCGGTGCGCTAATTTAAATACGTAAAGAGACAGTCGCCAGGTCGAGATTAATGTTTGTGCACTTCAGCTGCTTCATTTTATTTATTTATTTATTTCCTAAATGTTAGTAAAAGTAGCCCCACAGAAGAATGGTAACTATTCCATGGTAAGCGATGTTCTTTTGTTTCATACGCCCTTGGCCCCTTGACGACAAACAGCAACGCTAAGCTAATAGCTCTGTGGAAACTTTGTGGAAACTTTTACGCTGAAAATGGAGACGCCCTTCAAAGTATGAGCTGTCCTTCCCAGCCCATGTGCTTTAGCAGAATACATTATATTAGGGTCTGACTGACGTATGAGACACCAGGAGAGTTGACCAGTTCCTCAAAGAAATGGCGAAGGGCCAAAGTTTGAGAAACCTCTGTCTTGTGGGTGCATACTTATGCAAAGCACTTTTAAGAACTGCACAGTACCCAACCCCTTTGTGAGCAATGTGAGTAAAATGCTCAGGTATTTCCCAGAATTCATCCGACACTCAGAGCATGCAGCAGATTTTCTGAAAAGGCTGTATACCGTTGGGGAAAGAGGTGGTGATCCAGCTTCTAAATAAGATGACGGGTCAATTCATAATAAATAAGTAATAGTGATTTAATAATTCATCGTTAGAGTAATATCCACCTATCTGCGTGTCGATCTTCCATAGCAGCTGATGCCGGGAAGCATGGGGCGTACGACAGATCACGCTCTGGATCAACTTACCCACATTTATATTGTTGAATATTATGACTTGATGCAGCCAAATATGGATATTTGTATGCACCCTGGCTAAAAAAGGCTTGCACAGAATATATATTTCATGTTTAGTACTGATAAATCCTTACTGACAACTCAGGATTGTTGCCTAAATGTGATGTGAAGGCATCGCTGATGCATTACTGTATTACCATCAAACGTGAAGAGGCCCCAGTCGTGAAAACTGCATTTGAGCGGATGGCTGCGTCACACGCAAAGCTAGAATTTGCTATTTTGCATCCCAGGCTATTTCCTGAGAGCTCTTGCCATCGGTCTTAATAGGCTATGAATAATTAGCGCACGCAATATCCAGTTACCTTCCGGAAGCTTCCGCCTTCCATGTTAGGGCCACATCTCCAGGTTGTCTCACGCTATCAATGCCCCTGATTTGCATCAGGACCTGGAAAGCCAGACGTTCCCAGTCCGCAGGAGATGCCTGTGCTACAGGTATCACTGGTTGGCGTATATTAATGTGTGGAATACCGTTGCTGTTTCCATGCCACAATATTTGTTTCATATATATCCTTGCAATGCTGTTTTTACGTCAATCATTTTCTTCCAGATCAGCTATCCATACATATAAACATCCACAGCAATTTATTATTAACTGTGTGAGGCTGGATCATACACTGTATTGCTAAGAAGAAGACTTTACACTAATCAATGAGACGTACACGTGCCCAAAGCTAATTTCACAGACATCTTGCTAAATTTGGCTAAATTAAACTTGGCATGAATGCAAGGAGTCTGATTCAGAGGCAGATATTTGGTCTAACAAGAAAAAGCTGCAATTTAGAATTAATTTTTCTGAAGAAGTGGGCCAGATTCTAGAAGAGATACGGCTGTATAGAAAATCCAGGGTGGGATAAAACCCAGAACAGGAAACCAGAACCATCATGGGGCAATAGAGACACAGGTGTGTGTTACAGTGATGTAACAGAGTTACAATGGTGTTACAACAGTGTTACCCTGCTGTTATGTTATAAAGATGTTAACAG